CTCAGACACCTCCGGTCCAATTGCAGTAACTTTCGGCTGCCATCACCAACTTTCATCACCTCACGCGCATCAAAAGCTCTGGCTTGATACCCGTACGCCCTTGTGAGCATGCGCTCTCCTATCCCTCCACCTAATTTGTCCATTCACACGACCAAAATTCAGCCAGTCAGCCCCTCCTGCTGACACAGACATGCACTCCGCTAAAACAACACACCGCGACTGACGCTCTCCGTGAACGGACGCTCATCTCTGCTTCAAGCAAACAGCCAACTTATGGCAACCTGCCATTTTGTGCAGAATAAACTAATCCTCACCGCTTCCTGACTTCTGACATTGGGCGAAACGAAATTACTGTGGGCGGTTTAAGTTGATCTCACATCCCTGACCACCACAAATCTCTCGCAGATAGCTGGAAAGCAAAATCGGGTTTTTATTGGTTCGGCGGGGCAAACTAGCCCCGAAATCTCGCCGTCTTTTGAAAATTAAGCCCTTCACCCTGTTCCATTAGACTTTGTATTCTGTGGAGACTCTACTAGCATCGTTTCCGCAAAACTTCTTCCACAACTTTCCTTTCTTGTTGGTCGCCTTTTTGAGATCTCGTGTTAGCTACTGAGCCGGTTGGATTGTATTTTTTGTATTTTCATCTGAAGGGCTGTAGTCAGAGCCCTTGGTTACACTATTCCTGTACAATGCTTTTGCATATTTGCACTTAAGATAAAGTTGCAAACATTTAACATATTATCAGTTCACAATGTAAAACTACTGATAACGGAGCGCATCTGCTCACTGCGAGTCAGTACGGACTGGCAAATTGTTCTACAAATCTAGCTGTAAGTAGTCATGTTGTAAAGGTCGGTCTTTGTCGAAAATTACGGGAGCAAGTTTTTTTACAATGCAAATTGTGTCGTCCGTCACCATCTCACTCGGTAACTCACTTGCTTGCTTTCTCAGCTTGGAGCTCAAAATGGCCAATGGAATTCTCTCCGTCTAAGTGTCACTATGTGTTTGGACTTGAGAGGCTACCCCAACCAGGGGTCTTTCAAGACACACCTATAACTGAATGTATCACTATCAAGGATTTAGATTAAAGCTACACTAATAATCTTGATCTCTCGCCACAAGCTGGCAGAATTACAGCCAAAGCTGCCCAGATTTTTGGCTTTATTTCTTACAACTTCTACCTTCCTGGAATTAAATTAAGGCTCTATCGTATGTTTGTACTTCCCATTCTCGAGTATTTTTGCCAATTCTTTGTATTGATGAACGAGGCTAGTCGTTTAAAAATTGAACATGTCCAAAGACGTTTTTCTAAAAAAAATAGGTAGGGAACATCCAAATATCTCTTACTCGTATAGATGCCAACCAATTAACCTAAACTTTCTATGAATTCAAAGACTAGAAGCAGGCTTCTGTCTCCTATTTCGCATTAATAATAGTTCAAATCTTCCTAGGATTTCAGCACCTACCCCTAGTTCGTTCCCATACAATATTCGCAACCCTTCCCTGATTATACCTCCTCCAGCTTCTTCCGCCTCTAAGCGCTATTTTCTTCGCTTCCAGGTATACTTTCCTCTGGAATAACCTTCCAATAAATAAAAGATTTTCAGATAATCCACAGACCTTTAAGAGAAGTCTACGCCTTTATCTAAATACTGACTCGATTAAACGTTTATTTTCCTTCTCCTTCCCGGACAACTTTCTCTATGACACTGAGAAAGGGCCAGCGGGAATTTAGAACGCCGCCATTAACTTCCCGTGTCTGCTCACATTTCCTTCCTTTGTGAGTAGTATCGCCTCCTAACATCCCTCACCTGAAATGTTAATTTTTCCAATCTTTCACTTCATGCATCGGGCCCTCACAGAATGCGCTCCATCGACGCTCTTGGAGAAGCCTTCTGTATTCGCCATATACTAGTAGTCTGGTCGCATCTCCCTTGCCCCCTCCTCGGCTGGACTCAGCTGAATGTAACCGATCGCATCTGGGTTCCTATCGCCTCGAGACTGGTTTTCAATTCGCCACTTTGACATGAATGGCCTCATCCGGCATACGAATTCTGCCTTGATGATACCTGTTTCGAACCTTTTACTCAAGGCCACATACAGGCCAGTCCTGCCTGACCCGCCTACCTACCCCATCATGAAATCCGTTATACAATGCCATATACAGCGACGATTTTCGCTGTTCTTGATGTCATCTCCCGCATTTCGACCTCATGCGGTCTGTCGACGCTCACGGCGGAACCCTCAGTATTCACATGGTTTTTTACCAGATCGCTCTTGTGAAACATGTAATCTGTCGTTTCTCGATCTACTTACCTCTCTTCGTAATGATCACCTATCTGTTGTCGTTATTTATTTTGATCTTAGTAAAGCCTTTGATAAAGTGCCACATAAAAGACTCTTGATTAAATTGGAAGCTATGGGAATTCGCAGTCCACTAATAGACTTTCTCAGGTCATACCTGTCTAATCGTAAACAAAAGGTTTTGGTGGGATCTTCACTTTCCAGTGAAAGTCCTATTGTGAGCCGTGTCCTACAAGGTACCGTTTTAGGTCCTCTTTTGTTCTTGCTTTACATAAACGATACTTCAGCAGCAGTTGAACATTCTCAATCATTTATTTATGCCGATGATCTCAAATGTGTATATTCTTTCAATAAATCTACGAGCCTTCATTGCCTGGAGCAAATCCATGCTGGCTTGCTTGCTCTCTCAGCTTGGAGCTCAAAATGGCTAATGGAATTCTCTCCGTCTAAATGTCGTTATATGTGTTTTGGACCTGATAGGCTACCCCGACCTGTGGTCTTTCAAGGAACACCTATGACTGAATATACCACCATCAAGGATTTAGGTTTAAGCTACACTAGTAAGCTTGATCTCTCGCCGCACGCTGACAGAATTACAGCCAAAGCTGCCCAGATTTGTGGCTTTATTTCTTACAATATCTATCTTCCTGAAATTAAATTAAGGCTCTATTGTATGTTTGTACTTCCCATTCTCGAGTATTTTTGCCCATTCTTTGGTTTGATGAATGAAGCCAGTCGTTTAAAAATTGAACATGTCCAAAGACGTTTTTCTAAAAAAACTTTTAGATAGGGAACATCCCAATATCTCCTACTCAGATAGATGCCAGCTAATTAACCTAAAAATTTTATGGGTTCGAAGACTAGAAGCGGGCTTCTGTCTCCCCTTTCGCATTAATCATAGTTCAAATTTTCCTCGGATTTCAACACTTACCCCTAGTAGTCGCCCATACAATCTTCGCAACTCGTCGCTAATTATACCTCCTCCAGCGTCCTCCACCTCTAAGCGCTCCCTTTTTTTTCGCTTCCAGGTATACTTTCCTCTGGAATAACCTTCCAATAAATATAAGATCTTCAGAAAATCTACACACCTTTAAGAGAAGGCTACGCCTTTATCTGAATACTGACTCGATTAAACGTTTATTTTCCTTCTCCTTCCCGGACAACTTTCTCTATGACACTGAGAAAGGGCCAGCGGAAATTTAGCATGCCGCTATTAAATTTCCGTATCTATTCACGTTTCCTTCCTTTATGAGTAGTCTCGCTACCTAAGAGCCCTCACCAGAAATGTTAATTATTCAAATTTTTCAGTTCATGCATCGTGCCCTCACAGAATGCGCACCATCGATGCTCTTGGCGAAACCTTCTGTATTCGCCATATACTAGTAGTCTGGTCGCACCTCCCTTACCCCATCCTCGATTGGACTCGGATGAATGTAACAGACCGCATCTGGGTTCTTGTCTCCTCGAGACTGGTTGTCATCGTTCCCTTACAGAATGCGCTCCATCGGCGGTCTTGACAAAGCCTTCTATATTCGCCACATACTAGTAGTCTGGTCGCATCTCCCTTCCCCCATGTTCGGATGGACTCGGTTGAATGAAACCGACCGCATGATAAAGTGTCGGGTCAAGGTCAAGGCGCGCAGCTCAATTTCAAAGATAAGTGAAGCTCTGCATTTATCTGGATATTCTTAAGTAATTAATGCCTGTTTTTTTACTTGAGTCCGTTTTAAAAGTCGCCTATGTATATAAGGTAAAATTTTTTCCCAGTTTTGTTTGACAGTCTGGCAAAATAGTCGTATTTTGTAAAAAATACATTGTAGTGAATCCTTTACCTACTACCGCTTTCTAGTTTTCGTAGTTAAAAAACAGTAATACTTGCTATTCAGTGCGCTTTTCCGTACGCTGGCAACGTTTTGATCCTTCTTCTGTAACGAAAAACTTTTTTTTGTCTGTAATGCCCCGCAGAGCACGTGCTAAAAGGCGAAAGCTTGCGGCCTCTACACCGTCTCTGGGTGCTAAAATCGTGACTGAAGACATGGCAGACGCCAGCGTATGTTCTTCGCCGTCTGCAGATCTGATTAGCTCACAAATCCCTTTAGTACATGTAGAACCTCTCGACCCTTCAGTCGTCCAAAAATACGCCCCTGCTAGTCGTAGCAGGCCATCAGCCGGCGAAATAATCGATCAGCTGATTTATGGAGACATAAACAGCACTTCTGAAAAAGTGCTTGAACAAGCTTTTAAACTTATTGGGGTAATAAGTTCGGAAACTGAGGAACGAATTAAACGCAAGCATAATTTCGTACTGCGAAACATTCCGAGCCTTTTATCTGCTATGGAGGGAGCGCATTTGTTCCTACAAAGTTGTGGCTTGAGTTTTAGTGTCGCACAAGCTAAGTGACTTCGCTCGCTTAGTCGTAATGCGCCGATACTAGTTACCCTTTTCTCCATGATAGAAGTCGATTTTATCTTGTCGAGTAGGGAGATGACTAGAGACTTCTGCCGTAAATGGCGCTGCTCCGTTTCGCCAGACCTCACACCCCTGCAGCGAAGACTGAATAAACTAAAATCGGCAAAAACCAACACCAAGATAATGTCACCTGATAGAAGCGAACAGACGAGTCCCAGTTAGCAGTTCAGAAGATGAATATGCGATCACTGGGACAAGAAGTTTATTTGCCTGACGTTTCGGATTCTCACTCGAATCCATCATCAGAGACATTTGCAGATAGAGGTGAAGGTGGCACCAGGAGTGCAGTATTTATAGCACGTGGCTGCCGTGGGACCGTATGCGCACTGCAATTAACAGTTCTCACAATCGCCGCTGGGGTCGTAATTGATGCGGCGGTGGCTTGGCGGTCCGAGTCCGAGTTGTTAATTGCCGCGATTTCGTCATCCGTGCTCGATGCTGGTGTGACGATTGCTCTGCAAACTGGCTCACTGTCAGCGTGATAATTGCTCACCCGCGCCCTCCCCACGTGACTGATTCTCCTGCCCAGGGAACATTGCAATACGGAATAGGCCACCGGGAGGTCATTGTGTTTGTTGATGGATTGCGGGCCTGAGAACCATGACTCGAGCAGCTCGCGGCTCACGCGGTTGTCACCCCTTGCGAGGATTTCGGCCTCTTGAAATTTGAAAATATGGCCGGGTCCCGTCGAGTGTGCCGCCACCTGAGAGTTAGCGTCTCCCCGCCTCACTGCTGCTGCGTGCTCGGCAAGTCGCGTACGGAGTAATCTCCCAGTTTCTCCGACATAATTGCTTTGTCCGCAACTACACCAGATCCGGTAAACGACGCCAGACGTTTCCTGCCGTGGCAGCGGGTCTTTTGGCCTCATCACTTGGCGCCTAATGGTTGCTTCCGGCCTGTGTGCAACCCCAACTCCAAGTGGAGTGAGAAGACGACTGACGGCTTCCGAGACGTTCTTCACGTACGGAAGAGCCCGCCAAAATTTGGGGCTAGTTGGATTTGGTCTCTGGTTTCCTTTTCGTATGCACTGGTTGACACAGTTGCGCGGGTAGCCATTGGCTCTCATTACCCGTCGAAGATATTGTAATTCAGCAACCTTGTCTTCCATTTCACTGCAGTGCGTCTCAACACGCCGGTATAGCGCCCTTACGCAACTGCGTTTGTGACTGATCGGGTGGTTGCTATTGAAGTTCAGTATTTGCGTCGTATTTGTCGCTTTCCTGAACACTTTGGTTTTTAGGCCACCACAATCTTTGCGGCAGACGAGGACATCCAGGAAGGCCAGCTGATTGTTTTCCTCCTCCTCCATCGTAAATTGAATGTCCGGGAAGACGGCGTTGAGTTGTTCTTTGAAAGTCAGCACCTGATCCCGTTCGATGACGACGAAGGTGTCATCCACATACCGAGCCCAGAATTTCGGTCTGTGGTGTCGGAAAACCAGCGACTCCAGCCGTTGAAGGACCGCCTCGGCTATGAGTCCCGAAATCGGCGAACCCATTGGCGTTCCCTTCACCTGCTCGTAGATTGTTCCGTCGAATGTAAAGTACGTCTTGAGACAGAACTTCAGGAGCTGGATGATTTGGGCGTGACCGAGGCGATTCTCCGTTTCGTCGTACTTCTCTCGTAGGAGTAGTTCGATTGTCTCGACTGCCAGGTCCTGCGGGATAGAAGTAAAAAGGGACGTGACATCAAAGGGAACCATGATATCGCTTGGCAGGAGACTTACTCCTTTAAGTTTCTCCAAGAATCGCGTTGACGAGCTGACTGTGGTGTTCGAATCGGAGGTCAGAAACTTGAGACGTTGGAACAGCCACTTTGCCAGTCCGTAGGTTGGAGTGCCCTTTAGTGATACGATAGGCCGGAGAGGAGCGCCCTCTTTGTGCACTTTTGGGAGACCGTAGAATCGGGCTAGGGCCGTTTCTTGTGCTCTCGCCATGCGTCGGTCGATTAGCGATATTGCACCTGAGTTCTCCATTACCAACAGCGTCGCGTTAATCTCGCGTGTCAGCGTTTTCATGGGGTTGGATTCGCATGGGACATAGGACTGACGATCCTCCAACAAGCTTTTGGCTTTTTGATTGTAGTCTGTCCTGTCCAATACGACCGTTGAACGCCCCTTGTCCGCAGGCACGATAACGAGGTC